TGACATCCAGATACCTGGTTATTATGTGGTGGTCCTCTTTTTTCAACTTCTTGATATCAACTTTATGATTTTAATTGCAGTTCCACCTTTGAGACCAAGTGATGCTGAGTCAGCAAGACCTAAAGAAAAGAGTGGAATTATTCTGACAAGTGATGAAAGTGAAGAGGATGAATTTTGTGACTCCCTAGATCCTGAGTGTCTGCGAGAATTACAAAATGGAAATCATGTGGACAGAGAATTGCCAGATCTTGATGCTGCATTGAAAAGGGTTGATTTGACGAAGAGAAATAGTCCCAGCAGCTCCCCTGAACATGTCACAAGTTCAACAATGTCAGAATCTGAACATTCAGATTTAGAGAGTGATTTGAAAAGCTTGGAGCTTTTAACAAGTACACCATATGCTAAACATGTAACTTTTGCTGTTGATGATACTGCAAATAGTACAACTACTGTAGTTAATTTGGACTTGTCCAAGGTTGAGCCTTCAGTCACTGAGGAATGCTTTTCTGAGGTCACTCCTCTTCTGGAGAATGGACATAATCACAAAACTAATGTAGATGTGACAGAGTATGAATCATATCTACCTTTGGATCAAGCACCTAAGAAACCATCAGGGATCCTTAAGTCACATTATTCTGTGAGAGAACATGGGGGAGGTGATGCTTCTCAACAGCCATCTGGTCGTGGTCATGGAGGTCGAACAAGACAGTCACAAGGAACTAGAACCAAAGAAGGTATTTATCATATAGTGATTTAAAAAATTGTGTCAAGGTTGTAGTAATATTTGGTGACATGTCCTTCCATCGTGTGTCTTACTAAGTATTTAATTTAAACTTGCTGTTTCTTGTTCTTAAATAAAGTTTGAGTTATTAGGATGGCAAATTTTCAACAAAAATGACATATGAAAACAAAAAAAATTGTCTGGTTTTTAGTTGATTTTGTGAAAGAACTATTAAGACTACCATGCTACCATTAAATTACTGGTAGTGATGCCTTTTTTTCTTTTTTTCAGTAGCCTACCATAAAACAAACAAACAAACAAACAAAAAACAATAATACTGCACATAGGGTTTGAGTCATCAGGAGTTAACTGTGCCTTTAACAATATTTTCACTTTCATTTTAACCCTTTAAAACCCAGAAGTTATGAACTTGTAACTTTTCCCAATAATATACTTACATTATCCAACAGGTAATGAGGATACTCAAACTTATCAGGTAGAAGTTGTTGCCTTGATCCAACACCAATTTCTCCTAACTAATTTGCAAGGAAATGTGTTGCAGCTAGAGGGGAGAATAAATGGTCAAATTCTGTGATCAGATCATGGGAGTTAAAGGGTTTATTAACCTCATTCAATAATTTATAAAGCAAACCTATATTAATCCACCAGGGACCAGCTCTATGAGTGGAGTAAGTCGTCCATCAAGAGGGCACAGACGAAGGAGTGACAGTGACAGTGAAGATGAACTGACAAGTGATCATACAAGTGGCCCAGATTATGACTCAGCAGGTGACAGGGATGAAATCAATGAAAGGATCTTACAAGCTCTTGAAAGGCTTCATCAGGACATGAAAGGTGTGCTGCGGAGACTTAACACTATGGAGGAAGCACTCTTATCTAGACAGGTAGGTTGTCACATTTTGATAAAATTGGTTTTATGGGTTATTGCAGGTAAAGAGGACTTTATTTATTTTCTTTGTCTCAAATAATACTTGTATGTCCTAGGGTATCTTACCCTTTAACCCATAAGAGTGATGAGTATCTAATTTCTCCCAACAAATTCACCCCTGAATTAAATAAGGTCACAAGAATAGAGGAAACAATCACCAACCAAAGCAGCTCTGTATTGTTAAAGAAATTCTCCTGGTCAGTAACTTAGGAAATGTATAGAGAAAAGTATGGAGACTGGTATACTGATGTAATAGGAAGTAAAGGATAAGACTTGACTTGAGCCATGTTCCTTGAAATTTTGTTGGATCCCTCACAAGTTTTGAGGGAATTTCAAATTACCTTTGATATACTTAAACTAAACAAGGAAATCAAATAATTGTGTGATGATTTTAGCCCAAAATTTATTTTCAATGGCCTTATTTTTAAGTTTTAAAGATCTCAGCAATGATTGATAGAGCTCAGAATGTTATTACCAATTGATTATTTCCCATACATCAATAAATTGTCAAGATTAGTTTCACTTGAAAAAAAAAGTGCAGAAACAATGAGAAGTAATTTTTGTTTCTTAACATTGTGACTCTAATATTAATAATAATAAATGTCTTTATTGCTCATTGGATAAAAATACATATGTAATGTTACAGGATAAAAAGATTCAGGGTTCAGCCAAAAATTACAATAGAATAAAATTACAATAGATTAGCATAGACTCTAGCATTGTCAATCTAGTAATACTAGAGGTCTTTTGTATTGTTTAACTTTCCTTCACATAAATAGTAAATAATTAATCTGTGTTTATTTCTCTATCAGGATGTAGATCCTAGATCTGAGCAGGCATGGTGGAAATCTTACATTCCATCAAAGCCTTTGATGTTCCTCGTCTTGTGGCCTTTCATTGTGAACATTGTCTTTTATTACTTCAGACGAAGGAAGGTGAGACAAATATTGACAAGCATATTTACGAACAAACAGCAGGGGAAAAAAAACACTGTCTTAAACAATCACTGAATTCAATCAGAACAAAGGAAATGAACACTTGGAGCCAATGAGAACTCAAAGTGAAAACATGCAAACTGCCCAAGAATAGGAGACAATGGGTGACCAAGATGGGGCTGGTATTTAGGTTTGGTATATGAGAGGTTAAGTGGGTTGTTTGACTCACAGCTTAGGCATGGATAAGGGACAGTTTGTTTAAAATTTCTTACTATGCAAGTTTTTGGTAATAAATTTAAATTGGACTTAACAGGTTTAATTTCTTCTTTATATCTGGCAGAGTTCACAGCAAAGATGATAATCACAAGCCTTATCACTCCAGGTTGTGATAATTTATGGCAATGCCATGATGTGCAAGGTTATTGCTCATTGACTTCTTTTATTTAGTGGGTGAGGACTACTCAACAACAAGCACCATCAAAGGTCAACATTAGAAATATGAAATTCTGTTGTACTATCAAGAACTGGGGAATCACAAAAATGTTAGAGTGCGAATCTGGTCTCCAAAGAATTTCTTCTCCACTTCTGAATATTAACAAATACAGCAACAACAACAAAAACAACAAACAGGCTTTGTTTTTGGTACCATCATATTTATTGACTCAGTCAGACAAATACAGGTAGCATGATGGTGAACCAGCACATTATGAACAATACATTATTTATAAGTATTTTTTATAATTATTTGTGAAGTAAATTTCACTAATACTCTCAATGTAACAAAAACACATCAATTGAACAATATTAAGGTCATTCATTCACAATTCAGTCACCCATAAGTTCCTTCTTGATCAACGACATTCATATTGCTTGTCCAGAATTCTGTCACATAGTATGATGTAGGTAGACAGACAAAAGTAATTTAGTATTAATTAATTTAATGTGTATTGACCATATACTTTGCATCATTTGTTTAACTCTTGTTCCCCCAAAGAGTGACTAGCAACACTTCTTACATACAGTATCACTTCTGAATCAAACATTAAGGTCATGAGGATGAGGAAATTATCTCCAACTGAAAAAGCTTGATTGTAAAACAAATTCACCATGTCAGTACCACTGGAAATGTCTAGAAAACAGTGTAGAGAATATGCATACTGATGTTAGGGTGTACAGGGTCAAGAGTTTGCTCAAGTGAAGGAGATGCAATTGGATATGTTGTGAACAGATAAAGTCAAAAAGAAGCAAGGATAAAATTGAAATACAGCTCTCTCACACAAACACTCCTTTCTTAACTCTTTCTTGCTCCCAGGTGTTACCACTAAGTGAATTTTCCCTACGACATATTTACATTGTCAAGTAGTGAGGTAATGAGAAAAATTAAATGCATGAGTTAAAAGGTGTTGCTCAATTAAACGTGGAATACTCCCAGTAGAAATTGTAACAAATGTATAGCAGACAGCAAGAAGAAATATTAATAACCTCTGGAATGAAAAGGTTCAGTCGTTAACAGTGCATTTGCCAGGCTATTGTGGTGATGAAACCATAGCTGACCTTTCATATTGTTGTATTGGGGTTTCTAGTTGATATCATTTTGTAATATGATTTGAGCAGACACTTAGCACACAGTCACAGTTCACAGTTAGGCATTATGTACTGGCACCAGAATTAATGTTATTGGTTGTGTACTTGTGATACACTAGCAAAATCAGTTTCCAACTTTAGAACTGAATGGAGCTAAAGAATAATTCAGTTCACATAACACTCTTGTCAAATCCTACATGTACTCCCCATACTCACACTTTCAGCATTAACAGTGTTTGGTTTAAAGGAAATTTTTATTTTTGGTTGATATATTGCGTTTTCAATGGGAACTGTACTGGTTTATTTACTGAGGTGTTTAATATCAATTTTTAATCTGACTGTGATATCACTGACTTCATAGGAAAGTCATTATTTAACAAACAAAGTGTTTTTAAAAATAGTTTTACATGGAAGTGGTTTGAATGGGTTTTCACCCAAATTTAGATTATGCAATAAAGACTCCAAGTCAGTAAAGTTAAATCTGTATGCAGTCTTTTTCAAAGAAGTTGATGATTTTCTGAGCAGTGTGTTGGTCCAAACTACAGTCTAACAACTCTTCCTTGGTAGCCTGTGACACCCTGGTTACATTCTTGCAACCATCCTGCAGCACCAAGCATTCTTAAGATGTGTAGTTAAGGAAACTTCAAGGAAAAACAAGACCTAATAACTCACTCTGTTTATCACCATTGCTTATTCAAAGTTCTTCTTGATTTAACAGTATAGAGGGAGACAAAGAATGAGGAAAAAGTTCCATTGTAAGGAGACAAGCTTTTAACCAAAGGATACCATGATTACTTAGACCTATAGTAGCTAGGGCACCAAGAACAATGTTGTCATTGATTGTGGACTCTTGGAGCCTCTTCATTCTTTCTTGGATCACTCCTACCATGGGCTTACTAGTAACCTAGATACAAAAAAACAGTTCTTAGTTATAGACAAAGTTTTTATAAACAATCACCTCTACAATTCAAAACATTGTTGGTTCAACTGCACTCAGGCTTTAGCAGGTGCCTGTTCAGTGGCCAAATGGTCAGCTTTAGGTTTGATTAACCAGACTCTGTTTCTGAAATAAAGCCTCGCACACCCTCTGCTTCAGAGGATCAAGGTCTAGGCTCTGATAGAAACAGCAGAGGAAGAACCTTGGTCAGCTAAAGCAATGTCTGTCTATGATGGATTTACACTCTATCAGTACAAGTGAAAAAACAAGATCAGGTCCAATATCAACTTTGTTCCTGGGGTCTCATTTCCTCAAAGAAGGGAGAGACCTGGGAACAGGGTCAATGTAATATAGGTAGCCTTGTTAACATATAGGTTGATAGTAGACCAGATGTTGCTCAATAGTTGACAGACATTTCACTATTGCTGTCAATTTTCAACCTCTACCCTATTGGCATGATGTACTGAGTACACCATGCAATTTGTAGTTTGTGTGCCTACATGACATACTCGGTTTGTTCAAGGTTAGAGAGTAACAACATAATCTGCAGCTCTGGATAAGCAAATTAACCTGGTTCTCAGTCTCAAAACAAGTTAGAATTCTTAAATATTATAAATCAATGTATGTTGGCACAGGACTTCCCTGTGGGGTTGGCAGCAAGAGGTTAACTGACAGCTGTCTTCCATGTAATTTCCAACTGACTCATCAATTAATAGTGAAAGTAAAGAGGTGATGGTCTCTGACTGATGATGATGGCCCTATATGACCAAGAGCACAGAGAGAAACCAAGGCTAAATGTAGTGCAAGTTTACCTCATGCCAGGTAGACATCATTTGAGTCATCTATTTAACAAAGAAATATTTTATCTTCTGAAGCTTATCTTACTCACCTTAGAAATAGTCATCATGCATTCAAAGCATTCTTTGGCACTGTGGGCAGGAATAAACCTTGAACTTGTTCCTAAGAATCTAGTAATATTATAGTTACTATAGATTGTATGAGGTTCCCACATGGTCTTGACAAAATTTCTGCCATGCCTGAAAATTATTCTTGAAGTTGGGTTGTGCATACCCACAACTCACCAATATGGATTTACACCATTGTGAGGTGGGTGCACAGTGCCTTAAATTTGACTTTTGAAATCAGAAATCAAAATTAATATTTGCTAGTATATACTTAAAAAAGTGGGGAGCAATGAAGGCAGGCTCTGATTGGCTGCTCAAACTCCTAATGTCCTTGCTATTAACCCCCATGAAATGTGTGTAGGATTTGCGCCTAAAAATATTGTAATCACTGCAGGCATAAATGAGTGAAAATCATCTTTTTGTGTCATGTTATCTCACTGTTTAAGTATTCACCTCAGTGTCAGTGGCTAGCAGTGGAGATTTCCCTTGCCACTTCATGACTTGGTAGATATCCACCACAAGCAACCTCCATTTTGGAAAATAGTTGTTAACTATGTAAAGTTTTCTTCGGGGTCTAGCCCTGAGTGAAACAAGCTTGGAGTAGAAAAACGAAACTTAACGTCACGAATTTTTTTTCCCATTTACAGGTATTTAGTTTATGGGGAAAACACCTTTCGAAGTGTCTTGATGCATTTTTTGGTGTCGTATGTTATAATTTTGGCTGAACATAGTGTTATTCAACGTAATTATTTTTTGGTGACCAGAATTGTGTCTATACTTCGTAAACTTTCACCTGCTTTGCAAGGCTGTCCAAGCTTTTATTTGTTCAGGCCCCATAAAAGCAGCCACAAGAATAACATAGGCTTTACGATGTAACTGGTTTAATTTGTGTATCCTAAGGAAAAAAAATGATTATAATTTAAGACAGTAACTCGGAGAAAATAAAATTCTGAATTCAATAAGCTCGCGTTAAGATGTTGCAGTTTTTTTAGTTCAATTATTAAGGGTAAGGCAAAACTTCGGAACGTTTGGTTATACCTCTCTATGGTATCTTCGTTAATTAAATGCTTTTCCTGGTTCTCCGTCAGTACCTGATCCAAAGGCATAATCATGAAGGCGACGGAAGAGAGTGGAAAAATTATCACTCCATGGCCCGTTGTGTCTGTAACTATAAGATTTTCGATATATAACTTACAGTGGGTGTCTATTTGGAATGTAAAATTTAAAAAACTTAAGTTCATTCTGATTTATGATTACCCCGAACTTTATGATATTGCATCAGAAGTCGGTGAATGTCGCTGTTTTCGAGTGATCTGTTCAGTATCACTGGCCAACTTGTTAGAACGCTGTCCGCCATATTGGTTAAAAGGAACCGACTTAAATCTTCGTGCCCAAGAAATTTCCGATCGATGCCGACGAATTCCCGAAGTACTGAGGTCTTGTGTTGATGAAGGTCCTAAATTCGATTTCCCTACCCCTCGTTCGCATCTTTTTGCATTCACATAATTCTCTAAGAGTTCATATGTTAAGTCAACATATAAGCCTTAATACAATCGATGCTTGGGTCTAAGCGGTGGGTGTAATACGCAGCTCACTGGTCACGAGTGGCGGATCGCGGGTCACGGATAGCGAGTTCGGGTGGCGGGTCACTGACCATGGGTCACGGGTCGCTATTTCAAGAATTATTCAGCGGACGCCTGTGACCCGTAAATGCGTTTCGCGCAGCAGGCCTGATATTACTGTAAGTTCTCATGATAGCCTTTGATCTGGTGGGCCTTTAGGATGACTTTGGTTTAGTTTTTCGACACGTAATATTACGAACCGCTCTTAAGAGGCTGATTCTCTGTATCCCTAAATATGACTGACAAAATTGTGATTTGGCTCATCGCCCTTGACAATGCACGTTAATCATTACTTTGGGTAGATAAACAGCACTGTAGTCATTATATTGAAACATCGCCACTTTAATTCTTCACACGACCATAAATATCGAATTTCAATACATACTCCTGTATGGTGGAGATTGAGCATTAACTTAATGTTAGTATCTCCTCACAGAAGGTATTAAAATGGCAATGGTATGAAGAGAGAATGTAGAAGGTAACTTCGCTATTAAGAGTTAAGTAACAAGTACTTTATTACTTGGTAATTATTTATATACTCTGTACAAAATGAGTTGTTAAGTCTTAAATTTTCATGTCTTTAGCAGCGAGAGGATGATCTTGTTATATTAAACAGGAAGAAAACGTTCCTTTAATGAAGACGACCAGAAATGGATCAAATACAAACATAACATACACAAAAGGGATTTTCATTAGGTTGTCATTTCTCATTATTAATGAAAGACTCTCCCCTTTCTTCACAACGAAAGACTGATAT